GAATGCCATTTGTCGTGGATTAGCGTAAAACCAAATGCAGAGAGACAAAATCTGCATACCCGCTGTTATTGAAAAATCTCGGTTTTTCCATTCACGGTGCGTCTATTACATAAAAGAGTGTTGCGCAATACGGCATGGCTTGAATCATGGTGTTTGTTTTCATTTCCAATCAGCTACAATAACGGCACATGCAGGGACCTGGTTAATGCTTTCGAATGTGACTGCCCCAAAGGGTTTATTGGAACCGATTGCCGAATAAGTGAGTTCGCTGCACATATTTTTCCATAACTCCCTCATCGCCTTAGCAAAAGCGTCTGAAACACGATGTCATTTTGATTCCAAAAGTAAAAAAAGTGAATTAAAAAATATTTGATGTGACCACCTGAAACATGTTTGACAAAAATCCCGATTCTCTAGTGGCAATAGAAAGCTTGTGATACCCATACAAAGTCATTAAACGATCGATTATATATATAAAGCAATGCATACTGATAAGTGGAAGTTAGTAATCAAAGTCTGATTTGTTCGAGGACCAAGTCCCTGCAGCGATAATATTATTAATAATAATAATACATGGCCACACTGAAAACAAGTGCCAGCAGTGTATTTGTTGTAAATAACATCGAAATTGCATTTTAACAAATAGATTTATTCCCAGTCAACTTGCATTTACCTGCCAATTATTTAAATAATTTAAGTAAAATAGTATATTTCTGTTGATTAGTTGAGAAATAACACCATAAATAACGATTCTTCAAATGAAAACTAAAAAAGAATTTTTTCTTCGTATAATTCCGAAGACAAAACACAGTATTAGGTAGTGACGAAATTCGCCGTAGCCTTTCAGATTAAAATAAAAGTGATGCAGTGGTCTGATGGACTGAGAAAGGCCCGTTTTTTTTCCTGCAAAACAGATACCAGAACCATCTGAAATAATTTCATCAAGCTAGGGAGATTTATAACAATAACCAAACCTAAGGTTGTTAAGGAATATACAAAACGTAAGAAATGAAATCATCGACACCGCAAAAAGACTGATTTCAATCTGTTGCAAACTGCTTGGAAAAGGAATGAACAAACAAACTAATTGATTCAGTGTGGTGATCGAGCTTTTCTCCGTTGTCCTTTCGAAAAACTGCGAAAATGGATGGAGAGAGCGAAAATTCAAAAGCCGCTTCAAAAGCTGAAAACAAATAAAATTCACTCTAAAAATGCGAGAATAAGACATTGCTAACTATCCTGCACTTCCTCATAGGGCCATGGAAACTAAGATGCAACTTGTGCCACGCCATTCTGAAGTGATATTTTGAAGTTTGTTCAATTCAATTCGAGTTAAATGTATACTACTAATGAGTAGTCAACTTAAACAATTAAGTATTGAGTGAATTTCACCTCGATCGTTCGTGATAAACTGGCGATTACGGTTGACTCCAAACCAATGAAGAGGAAATCATACATAATATCAGTTGAATAACTATTCATAAAAACCTAGATCTATTTATTAGGAAAACATAAAAACCAAATGTTACTTCTATTTCAACAGACGTGAACGAATGTGCAACAAATCCATGTGCCTATGGTGCCACATGCATCGACCGCGTTGGAGACTATGAATGCATTTGCCCTGAGGGCAGACACGGCCGCAATTGTGAAGACTTGATTGTGTACACACCGCCCAAGCCGCCGGCGTGCAATTTTCACGACCGTATTTACGACCACAATGAAACATGGACCCATAACTGCCAGATTTGTCAGTGCAATATGGGTCACATCATCTGTGAAGATGTAAGTGAATAGTTGATGTGTGACGTGTGCATTCATTTCACTGTAGAAAAAGAAACAATGAACGACTAGCAATGGCAAAACTTCCAAACTTGCATGTCTGTTTTTCCTTCATGCAGGATTTCTGTGGATATTGGTCCTGTTTGCATGCAGTCGGGCAATCCGATAGATTCGCATGCAAAGAGGGCGAACTCTGCCACATCCTTTCCTCTGGGATGGAGGGAGAGTGTTTTGTCGCTCCATGCTATCTGCGCACCGTGTGTCTTAATGCAAGCCGCTCTATTCCCATTCAACTGAGAGAACTCCTACCAGACACCTATCCTGGACCATCGATTCCTGGATGTCGACCCAATGCGGCACACTTAAACAATCATTGTGCACGGATACGGTTGTTATTCTCCAAAGAACGCATGCCATACTCAGTCACGGTGGGGGATATATGTACTGCCATTCGTCAACTCCCCTCGATTCAACGAGAACGTAACCGTGTTAAAACAGATCGGGCAATCGGGTTGAGTTGCGATATCACCGCGGGATACACAGAGGAGGCCAAGAACACAATAGAGGTCAGTAACGAGAAGATTTCAATGTGTAAATATGCTTGAAAAGCACTTGTCATATGGATTGAACGCAGTGTTCCTCCGCAAATATCTCAAACAAAACCTTAGGCCTCCGTGAAGATAACATATTCCCTAATGAGTTATGCTTATCATTGAACACATTCATCAATAATGCTGCTCCATGTCATACAAACAACCCAATAAAATCAACGGTGCAAAAACTAAGCAATAACTAGATGGCCCAATTAATGTCGAATAACTGCTGGACATGAATCCATTGATTCCCTTTCTCGGAGAAGATCAGAAGTAACCGACTTTCGCTGGCTTGTGAGAATGACGTAATTATAGAAGGATGATGAATTCCGAAAACAAGGAACCAGGGTATTTAATCCCAGAAAATACCGGGGTAAATTTGTGGTGCTGAACGATAAGTACTCTGACTAGACAAAAATCTAAACCGGAATATCCAACGTTGTTGTAAGCCAACTCAAATTAAAAAAAAACAGTTACATTCTGAAAGAAGTTACATTTAGAACCAGGCAAACGCTTGAATTAATCATGCGAGACAGGTGGAGCCTAGTGAGCTGGGACATGACGAACTGAACACATGAGAGAGATGGTTATCCGAATGGGTACCTTAGAGTTTGGGGCATGATATACTTCGCGTAGACCACACCGAGGCAGTGGTTTTTATTTGGGGACCCTAGCCGGACACGTTGACTCAAAAGGCAGTGCGACATGGAGAAAATTACCGTTAATCGCTTCCCGCCTGGTTACATTCATTTTAAAATCGCTACTTTTCAATTTATTAAATTTGGAGCACGATTCAAACGCTAATTTTCACAGTAGCTGAGTAGCCCGGAGTGTGAAATTTTCCACCTCCAGTTGCTAAAACTAATTTCATTATCTACCTGTACTGTTTGCGCTGATAGAGGAAACTCAAATGGGGCAAAAGACATAACACGGCTACCAGTAGATAGCCACATCAATGTATTAGCTTTAGTTGTATTTTCTGGAGGGTTTATGCATAGTTGGTGTGAGATTCGTCTCTAGCAAGTACCGCATTTTGGTAAGAATTTCCAGATAATAGGAAGCTGACAAGTTTTCGACAATCGTGTCGACTAGTGCTCGGTCTACACCGAGTAGGAGCGTCAGCTGTTTCACTGAACCATATTCTCAGCCAAAATGAAAGCCTTAAATTTATCCACAGCGGTGAAGACCATCCTTTCCAGTCAGGTTTAAGAATGTTTGTGAACTCAATTTCCCTGATGTGAAAGTTAGTGTGTCCATCTGGGTATACAACCCTATGGTTGAATTTACCCTTCTGGGGTCTCCGTGGTGAAATCGATCAAAATGTTCGAAATCAGAGGAAGGACAACCGCTCTTTGGGAGTACGCTGTAATATAGTTCGCTGTCCAGCGACAGCCATCAGAAGAACTTCTCATGAATTTCAGAATGGATTTTTGTACGGCAGAGACAAAAGAGTATGACGAACTATAATTGGACAGAGGGTGTCTAGTTTTCAGTCGATGCATTTCAGCAAACTGAAATGACCATTCAGATAAATACCGGCAAGAAAACGTACAGCTAAGCCTAGAGCACAGATACATGACCTTCTAGTATCTCACATGTAATCGAAACAAGTTTTATTCTTCTGACATATAGCGTAAACAGTGTGTTGTTCCGCAATGCATAAGGTCATACTCTAAAATCTTTCTCTCACTTGCCACAGATCACCCTCAGCGCCACCGACGGTCAATTGCGCACTGATTCAGCCGGACGAGAAATGTCCTTTGTTCACGAACTGGCCATAAATGTCTCGCATGAGATTGCTCAAAAGACATCCACTAATATGACTCTGGACAAACCGATTGATCCAAATGTGGGCAAATATGCCACGGACAAGACAATGCCACTGCCACCAATCACCGCATTGTTGGGCACACCGCATTTGCACAAATACTGGCATCGAGTGTTGCTCGGTGTAGTGGAAATCAAGGTGGACACAATGGTTGTCAAAGAGAAGGATTTGGGTGAGTGAGATGGTTTTCACGGTGTGTCCACACCATACAAGAAGGGCTCTGAATTCTAGGCGGTAAGAAGGGGATTGATCGCATTCGTGCATGACTCTCAATTTGGAATCGCGTTTTAGTTTCCAATATCATACCTGTATATCAAGAGCCCTGGTTATGACTATTTATTTCGAAATTTATCCCCCGCTGCAATGTTCTTAGTTTTCTTGTAGCACCGTTTGATTTTGTGCGATTTTAGAAGCCACGATGAGATTTACATGTATTGACTAAACTTGTGCAACACCTTGATTTTCAGTACATTTGTCCCTCCCAACGGTTAGTGTTCCGAGCCCCATTCACGGGATTGAATATGATATTCCCTCACATTAGACGCAACAAAACTGCACTAATATCTACTTATATCCTTGATTCTAGTAGTCAAATGTCATTAAAATGTACGATTTCCCGACGGTTGCTGGTGCATCAGTTGTGCAATAACAAAGCCAGATTAAAAAAAACACAAGTAGAATCTATTGGTCAAAATTTTAAAAAGAAACACTTCATGCAAAGCAGCATAGAAGTTAATCCTTTCTGGCAAACGTTTCTTGTTTTGTGAGGGTATTTATTCTGATCAATGCACGTATTCTAAATAGCTCTTTCATGTGGTGCAAAGTAAATAATGAAAACTTTGCAGCTTGAATAAATTGTGTGGCTACAAACTTGCCACTCTGTTTAACGCGAGATTTGTTGTACTGATGAGATAGGTTTTCGATAATCATCATTCATGGAATGCATCCGCAAAAAACATACCCTTCCCATATAATCCCTAATGATTTAATAGAGAAATAAGAAATATGGACTTCCATAATGTAGCCATGGTCATTTAGCTGCATTTGTACACAAGAATGTGTATCGTGTTTCCCGTTGCAATTATTAATCTTGTCTTCATCTCAATGACTATAAAAATCACTGCCTGGAGTATGCATGAGCACAGATGTAGACAAATGACCACAGATGCATTGTGCAAAACATTTTTCTGACTTCTCTATTCAAATTT